TTTCTTTACCTGCAAAATGACCCAAACAACTAGGGTGAGTAATAAAGTTACTCGTAGGATGTGGTGCATGCACATACCCTATAGTTTCAAGTATAATGTAAACCAAACATAGACCATCACAAGGGTTCATTCCACCTAATGTCTATGTTTCCATGGTACTCTAAGGGATCATCTTAAGCTATACAAATGTTTGAAACGATAAGCACGTAGCATCCAAGTATACAAGGCAAGTACACTAACCACATTAAAACCAAGATTACCAAATCACAAGCTACAAGAAATCCATGATTTACAACTTGGAAAGTAACACTAAATCAAATAATGGGAAGACTAAGATATGTGGCCACGAGACCATACAAGTTATTTTGGGTAATTACGACCTATAAGGTACTACCTAGTGCGCACTATGACATAGGAGAATTCTTACCCTCCATATTAGAGCCAAACACTAGCCATCAACATTTCATATCCTCACAAGCTTCTAAAAACCAACAAGTTCATGACATTTATATAGTCTCGATGCATGAAACTACCTACCAAGCACAAGTAGGGTAAAAACGCATAACCCTTGTCCTAAGGTTACATGTCTAAAGTGGCAGATACTACACATTATGCCATATGAATTTAATATTAATGTAGGTCACAACTACTAATCATGCAATATAGTAATTCACCTACAAGTAATTATAAGTACTATATACAAGATTTTCATACTAGACTCTCAATGAAATCTCTATTTACTTTACAACATAAGTGCAATTTCAAGATAACCATAATAAACCATCAATGAAATCACAAGTATTAGGCAAATCATTAAACAATAACCTACCTATACAAGTTAATAGTCTTATACATGCTTTAATCCACAAATCCCAAGTCAAGCATATAAAATCTCTATTTATATGCAAATACAAGAATTTAAAAAGGCATGTAATCAATATATATTAGGCTCCAATATATATAAAACCCAAAGAGGATAAACATACAACCACCCCTACCTCACAAGAGGATTGTTCCTCTAGAATCCAAGGGAAGCAAAAGAATTTCAAGTTTTCCTTCTAAGGTTATGAAGAGGAAGATGAGCCAAGGGTTTTGTACTCCAAGTTTAATGGTCTAAGGTGAGTGGAAGGGTATCAAAAATGAAGTCAAAGCTCTAAGTCAAGCTTTGCTCCAATGGTGGCTAAGTTAGAGTTCTAGAGAGGAAAAAGATAAAAATGAGACAAAGGTGTAAACCCTAAGCTAAATGGTTGGATTCTCCACTCACTAGGTGCTCTTGCACTACCTAAAAAGCACACACAATTGCAAGACCAATTGTGAAGCCGACACTTGTCGCCATCCTATGTAAACTTCCAAGATTAAATATCAAACCTACACTTGTCAACCATCCATGCCAGCAAGTGCTCCTATCCTAGGCCAACAAATGGGTGAATCTCCACCCGCTATGTGTAATCAAACAAGGCTTCCAAGTGGTTTCACCACAAAATCAACAAGTGGCACCTTAGGAATGTGACACTTGTCACATTTTTGAAAATTGCAAAATGGTCCTTTTTGAAAATATCTTCCAAATTAAATTACAAAATAGTCCCTAAGATGAAAAATAATTACTTTATTTAATTACACAAAAACCCCGCAAGTTTAGAGTAATTACCAAAAGTTTTACATTCATGCCCTTTACAAGAAAAGTAACCATTTAATATGCTTTTCTACAAAAGTGAAAATGTTGATATCATGGAATTTAAATATCATGGATTTATGCAAAGCCGGAATCAAATCCAAGCACAAAAAGTGAGGTTATGCAAGGAAAAATGAAAAATGACTAAAGGACGAAATAGGGAAAAGACCAAAAAAAAAAGAAATTTACCGAAAAAAGAAAAGAAGGGAAATGACCGGGTCATTACAACCTACCCTCCTTAAAAGGGATTTCGTCCCCGAAATTGAATCATACTTGAAAGAGAGAACAAATGGGGATACCGAGAACAAACCTCCTGTTCGAGCTCCCAGGTAGCCTCCTCGATGCCGTGGTGTCTCCACAAGACCTTAACCAATGGAATGGTTTTGGTCCGCAAGACCTGCTCTCGTGAATCAAGAATCTGGACTGGACCTTCCTCGTAGGTCACATCCTCATAAACAATGACATCTGTCCATCGTAAAACATGTGATGGATCTGGCTCGTACTTCCTTAGCATAGAAATATGAAAGACGTCATAAACCCTATCCAAGTCTGGCGGTAAAGCGAAACGATAAGCAACTTCACCGAAGTGCTCCAATATCTCAAATGGTCCAATGAATCTAGGAGACAACTTACCAGTCTGGCGAAATCTCAGAAGTCCATTCCGAGTAGAAATCTTAAGAAAGACATGGTCTCCTACCTCGGAAGACTGGGATCGTCTCCTCCTGTCAACGTAACTCTGTTGTCTGCTCTGTGCGGTAACCAACCGCTGCCGAATCAACTTAATCTTTTCTATAGTCTCAATGACAATGTCAGGACCTAAGGCAACGGTATCACCAACCTCGGTCCAACAAACTGGAGATCTGCAAGGCCTGCCATACAACGCTTCGAAAGGTGCCATGCCTATACTGGCTTGGTAACTATTGTTGTAAGAAAACTCAACCAAAGGCAAGTAGTCCTCCTAACTACCACCGAAATCCAAGATACAAGCCTGTAACATATCCTTCAATACCTGAATGGTGCGCTCCGACTTACCATCGGTCTGAGGATGGAATGCCGTGCTAAAATAAAGCCCCGTATCAAGAGCCTCCTGAAAACTCTACCAAAAATGAGGCGTAAACCACGGATCCCTATCCGAAACAATGGATACAGGAACCCCGTGAAGCCTGATAATCTGCCTCACATATAGTCCACTCAGTCTCTCTGCACTATCTATCACTGCCATGGGCAAGAGTGAGCCGTCTTAGTCAACCTGTCAACTATAACCCAAACGGCATCATTCCTTGCCTAAGACCTCGGAAGTCCCGTTACAAAATCTATAGTGATATGCTCCCATTTCCACTCAGCTACTGGTAATGGTTGCAATAATTCTGCCGGTCTCTGATGCTCTGCCTTCACTTGCTGACAAGGCATCGAGCCACAAACTATGGAATGTCACGTTTTATGCCCTGCCACCAAAACTATCGTCACAGATTGTGATACATCTTCGTACCACCAGGATGAACTGCGAGTCGAGAGTGGTGAAAATCCCGAAGAACATATTCACGACTTGACAAAGGAATGAACATCATCCCCTTGTACCTGAGACCACCGTCTGAATATAAGGACCAACCCTCTACATTCTCACCACCTGAAATCCGAACATGGATGGACTTCATCTCCCCATCCTCCAACTATGCCTTAATAACTCAGCTAACAAGAGCTGGTTGAGCCACAAGGCTAAATAAAATAGCCTGCGAAACATCTTCATAACACTGTAAACCAAGGTCTGCAGGTTCTTCTAGCATCTTTCATCTGTGAATGGAAATACTAGCAAGAGTCCCCCGTGACTTCCTACTCAATCCGTCAGCCACTACATTAGCCTTACCCGGATGATATTGTAACTCAAAGTCATAATCGTCCATTAACTCAACCTATCTGCACTGTCTTAAGTTTAAATCCTTCTGAGAGAAGAGATACTTGAGACTCTTGTGACCGGAGAAAACTTCAAGCTTCTCTCCGTACAAATAGTGTCCCCACCCATTTAGGGCAAAGATAACTGCTGCCAACTCCAAATCATGTATCGGATAGTTTGACTCATGAGTTTTCAACTGTCAAAACCCACAAGTAACCACCCATTCTGTCTACATCAAGACACAACCCAAACCTTCCCGCGAAGTATCACAAAAGATCATATAACCCAAACCACATTCAGGAATGATCAGCACTGGAGCTAATGTCAACCTCACCTTCAACTCCTGAAAAGCAAAATCACAGGCCTCGTTCTATACGAACTTGACCCCCTTGCGGGTAAGTCAAGTCATAGGTGCCGCTAGACGAGAGAAATCCCGAACAAACCTCCAGTAATAGTCGACTAGGCCAAGAAAACTCTAAATCTCAAACACTGTCTTTGGACGTTCCCAATCCTTCACCGATTCAATATTTGATAGATCCACTGCAACTCTACCCCCTGACACAACATGTTTAAGGAACTTCACCTCTGGTAGGCAAAATTCGCATTTCTCAAACTTGGTATACAACCTGTTATCCTTAAGGATCTGCAACATTGTCCTTAAATGATACTCATACTCCTCTATCGAAGTTGAGTATACTAGAATGTCGTCAACGAACACCACTACATATCTGTCAAGATAGTTATTGAATACACAATTCATCAAATCCATGAAAGCTGCTAGAGCATTGGTCAAACCAAATGGCATCACCAGAAACTTATAATGGCCATACCGTGTACGAAAAGCAGTCTTAGATATATCCTCATCCTTAACCCTCAATTGATAGTAACCTGATCTTAAATCAATCTTTAAAATACAAGTGGCTCCTTTCAACTGATCAAACAAGTCATCAATCCTAGGCAAATGATACCTGTTCTTGATTGTGACGTGGTTCAGCTTGCGATAATCGATGCAAAGTCTTAAAGACCCATCCTTCTTCTTTGCAAAAAGAACCAGTGCTCCCCAAAGTGAAACACTAGGTCGAATAAAGCCTTTAGCTTTTAAATCATCCAATTGAGCTTTCAGCTCGTTAAGCTCTACTGGTGCCATGCCGTACGGTGCCACAGAGATAGGTCAATACCGGGAATGACATCAATGGAAAAGACAACTTCCCAAAGAGGAGGAAGCTCCTTTAACTCCTTCAAAAAAACATCCAAGAACTCTACAACAACTGCTGGGTAATCGCGGCCCGAACTGCTATCCTCGTCAGCTGACAGGCTAGTCAAGTAGGACCTATGGCGGCTCTAGTCAGTGATACTGAAAATCATCGTCGAGTAGGAACCACTCTGATCTCCCATGAAGTGAAAACAATCTCCTTTGGGGGTGCAAATAGTCACCCTCTAACGGAAGTAATCGATTATAGCACGAAAGAAGGATAGCCAATCCATCCCGAGAATGACGTCAAAGCCCGTCATGTTGAAAACAACAAAATCGAACTTTAAAGTCTGCCCAGCTATCTTGATAGCACAACCTTGACAAACACGGTCCAAAAACATTGGACCCCCAACTGGTGTGTCAACACAAAGGAAACCATCCCGCTGCGTGACTTCCAGATCCAATGAATGTGCAAATGAAGCACATATGAATGAATGCGATGCACCTTTGTCAACAAGAACTCTAGCTCAAGAATTGAAAACTGGAAAGATACCTCGAACTGTAGAAGTCCCAGCAGAGGTATCGGCCTGTGGCAGTGCGTAAGCTCGTCCTTGAGCCTCAGACTGCTGTGAACTGCCCTGGTGGCCCGATTGATGTCCGGAAGCAGTAGGCGTAGGGCCTGTGACCGGATAAGAACCAACTGGCAGTGCTGCTGACTGCGGTACTTGAGGCACCCTGAAACCTGACTGCACAACTGCTGACTGTGCCGGTACGACCTGTGAACCTATGTCACTCTATGTCCCACCTTGCAATTTCGGACAAGCTCCACTAACCCCCTTCGTCGAAGCTGTAGGCTTACTAGCTTATGACTGACTGGCCTGTGGCTAAAGCTGTGGGCAGTGAGGCTTGATATGCCTTGGCTGCTGACAGTGGTGAAAAGTCACTCCTCGGGTTGACCCTGAAGATACTGGAACTATAGGTACAGACCGAGCCTACTGTGACTGTCCCTGAGTACGTGAACTGTCCTCGGCCTTCGCCTTCTTCCACTGACCCCAAATAGATACTGATGAAGCCTCTCCACGAGACTGCTTATATGAACCCTTGATCCTAAGTTGATCTCGGTCCTCTACCTCAACCAACATAGCTTTCTGTACTACCTCCTCATAGGTCCTCAATTCTAATACTGAAATTCGTGGCCTAATATCAAGATGTAACCCATCTTGAAACTTCCTCGCCCTGAGCTCCTCGATAGCTACCATCTCTAGTGCATAGCGAGAAAAAGAAGCGAAGTGTGTCTCATACTCAATGACACTCATCCTGCCCTAATAAGGACTTGTGAATTGCACTCTCATGTCCTGCCTCATAGCCCTCAGAAAGAAACGGTCGAAGAACAATGTCCTTAACTCCTCCCATGTCATCACCTCCACATCGTGGATATTGGTTATGGACCTCCACCAGATATCGGCATCTCCCATGAACATAGAGGTAGTCAAAGAGATCCTTAATCGGTCTGTAGGTACTGCCATGCTATCGAGCTTGCATACCATGAGATCAAGCCATGCCTCTGAAGCAAGCAGATCCATACCCCCTACCAACTGGTCGATCTTAACCTGCTGTAACTTCATGAAGTAGTCTAATGCCTCATTAGCAACTGGTGCCGGCGCTGGTGCCGGTACCGGAATCTGCATCCCTGTCATATGCTGATGAAACATCTGCTGAATGGACTCTAACATCCCCAGAGCCACTCCCTGTGTAATCTGCTCCTCATAAGTTGGCGCTCATGGTGGATTAGGATCTATACCACGAGGTCGAGCCCTGGACCCTGTGCAAGCCCGGTGTCTGCAACCTGCTCCTCAACTTGCTCATCTACTCCGACGTGACGAGAAGACTCTCTGTGAGTCAAGACCATGGTGCTACACACATAAGGGGCAAGGTCAACAACAATGCAAGTCAATAAAACCTAATGCAGCTTACGCCATGAATACACGAAGCAAGTAGTACATAATATAAGTAAGAGATGTATGCAACATACAGTCATGCTAAATATACAAGTATATAAAACATTCTAACACCCTATAAGCATATGCAAAATGCTAAGGCATACAAGTATATACAACATACTAAAACATTTAAGGTAGACTCCAAATCTTACTACCATATAAGCACGTAAACATGTTATTAAATCAAAACATGTTATCAAGGAACACGTAAAAAAATCAAAGCATGTCAAAAAAAGTATGATATACTCCCAAAACCCATCGTCCTAAGGTTTTCAAACCTAGGAGCCCTGATACCACTTGTAACAACCCAGGTTTTTAACCCGATGCATTAATGATGACCCGTAAGTTAATCCAGTTACACATGTTACCAAGGAACATGTAAGCAAATCAAAGCATGTCCAAAAGTATGATATACTCCCAAAACCCGTCGTCCTAAGGTTTTCGAACCTAGGAGCTCTGATACCACTTGTAACAATCCAGGTTTTTAACCCGGTGCGTTAGTGATGACTCGTAAGTTAATCTAGTAACAGATCCGTATGTGGAAGCAAAAGATAAACCAAGGTCTCTAGAGTTAGAAGTCATCCTTAAGACACTGGTGTGACCTTCCATGAAGTCATGGAAGTTAAAGAGAGAAAAAAAAAGGAATAGGAGTCAAAACGGGCAAAATTCATCAATCAAGGGCAAAATGGTCAATTTACAATTGAGAAGGGAACTTTGACTCTAAACAAGTCAAATAAGGTCCACACAACCTAAAAAAATCATTTCACAACATTCCAAGAGGTTCTATGAACTTTGGACAAAAATCCCACAAAACACCCTTTCCCGGTTTAAGTGAAAACTAACACTATCCCACTAAAACATTAATAACTCCCACTATGATTTGAATTTGAGAATGAAATTGGTATCAGTGGAAATATGACTCAAAATAATTGACTTAAGGCTTAAGAATCACCCCATTTGGGTTAGAAACAAAGAAGTTATGGCCATTTGAAGTTGGAACTTCAGTGCTGAAGCAAAATCTGGAAGACAGGTGTATGAGGGGAGTTTCGGTAGACCGAAATAAAGTTTCGAACAACCAAACTGGATAGCATAGTTTCTAAAGACATGTTTTTAAAGGTTGGTTAGTTCGGTAGACCGATTTGAGGCCATCGGTCGACCGAAATAGAGTTTCGGTTGACCGAAACTTCTCGAAAAGCTGCTGTAAGGCCCGTTGTAAGCCCAAGGTGTTAAGGTTCAACCTATACTTTGATTCCCATGATGATTTGGTTCAAAATTGAATGTTTAAAATAGATTTCTAATGAGATATGGATGTGTAGACATACCAATAACATTAATATGAATTGTTTATGCGTAAAACAACGGCTCATGGCCCCACACACATCATTTACAAAAATCTCACATGCTAAACCTCCAAAGTTTGTTTAAATACATTCTTAAAGCAAAAGATAGTACCAAATGACTACAAGTGCTAAATTAAACATACTTGGCCCTTGGCCTCAATTCCATACATTACATATTTCAAAACAAAAATAGCATTTTACACCAAAATGATACTACATACTAACACTTGCATGTTTTCAAAAATACAACAAACTACATTAAGACTTCAAATCAACTTAAGGATGTGATGCATCCCAAAACAAAGTTTGTTTACCTGCAAAATAACCCAAACAACTAAGGTGAGTAATGAAGTTACTCGTAGGATGTGGTGCATGCACATACCTTATAGTTTCAAGTATAATGTAAACCAAACATATGCCATCACAAGGGTGCATTCCACCTAATGTCTATGTTTCCATGGTACTCTAAGGGATGATCTCAAGGTATACAAATGTTTGAATTGATAAGCACATAGCATCCAAGTATACAAGACAAGTACACTAACCACATTAAAACTAAGATTGCCAAATCGCAAGCTACAAGAAATCCATGATTAACGACTTGGAAAGTAATACGAATTCAAATAATGGAAAGACGAGGATACGTGGCCATGAAATGATACAAGTTATTTTGGGTAATTACGACCCACAAAGTACTACCTAGTGCGCACTATGACATAGGAGAATTCTTACCCTCCATATTAGAGCCAAGCCCTAGCCATCAACATTTTATATCCTCACAAGCTTCCAAAAACCAACAAGTTCATGACATTTATATAATCTCAATGCATGAAACTACCTACCAAGCACAAGTAGGGTAAAACCACATAACCCATGTCCTAAGGTTACATGTCTAAAGTGGCAAGTTAATGATACTACACATTATGCCATATGAATTTAGTATTAATGTAGGCCATAACTACTAATCATGCAATATAGTAATTCACCTACAAGTAATTATAAGTGCTATATAAAAGATTTTCATACTAGACTCTCAATGAAGTCTCCATTTACTTAACAACATAAGTGCAATTTCAAGATAACCATAATAAACCCTCAATGAAATCACAAGTATTAGGAAAATCATTAAATAATAACCTACCTATATAATTTAATAGTCATATACATGCTTTAATCCAGAAATACTAAGTCAAGCATATAAAATCTCTATTTATATGCAAATACAAGAATTTAAAAAGGCATGTAATCAATATATATCAAGCTCCAATATATATAAAACCCAAAGAGGATAAACATACAACCTCCCCTACCTCACAAGAGGATTGTTCCTCTTAAATCCAAGGGAAGCAATGGAATTTCAAGTTTTCCTTCTAGGGTTATGAAGAGGAAGATGAGGCAAGGCTTTTGTATTCCAAGCTTAATGGTCTAAGGTGAGTGGAAGGGTATCAAAAATGAAGTCAAAGCTCTAAGTTAAGCTTTGCTCCAATGGTGGCTAAGTTAGGGTTCTTGAGAGGAAAGAGATGAAAATGAGACAAAGGTGTAAACCCTAAGCTAAATGGTGGGATTCTCCACTCACTAGGTGCTCTTACACTACTTCTCACGCACACACAATTGCAAGACCAATTGTGAAGCTTACACTTGTCACCATTCTATGTAAACTTCCAAGATTAAATATCAAACCTACAATTGTCAACCATCCATGCCAACAAGTGCTCCTATCCTAGGCCAACATATGGGTGAATCTCCACCGTCCATGTGTTATCAAACAAGGCTTCTAAGTGGTTTCACCACAAAATCAACAAGTGGCACCTTAAGAATGTGACACTTGTCACATTTTTAGAAATTGCAAAAAGGTCCTTTTTGAAAATATCTTCCAAATTAAATTCCAAAATATTCCCTAAGACGAAAAATAATTACTTTTTTTAATTACACAAAACCCCTCAAGTTTAGAGTAATTACCAAAAGTTTTACATTCATGCCCTTCACAAGAAAAGTAACCATTTAACATGTTTTTCTACAAAAGTGAAAATGTAGATATCATGGAATTTAAATATCATGGATGTATGCAAAGCCGGAATCAAATCCGAGCACAAAAAGTGAAGTTATGCAAGGAAAAATGAAAAATGACTAAAGGACAAAATAGGGAAAAGACAAAAAAAAGAAAAGAAATTTACCGAAAAAAGAAAAGAAGGGAAATGACTGGGTCATTATATCTAATGTTGGTTAAATTACATCGATATGATGAATTGTGTTTTAAATGTTCAAATGTAGCTTAGGAATGAATCTATAGATTCATTTGGAACATAGACGTTAGGTGGCATGACCCACTTTGTTGTTTTCGTATTTTAGATTTTCAATTGGATGACTTTGAGAATCTATACCTTGTTGCTTCGTATAACATACTTCTATGTTGTTTGAATTGCATGAGGGATGTGAATTATGCTAGAAATGATCTAAGGTAGCTTAAGATGCTCCCTGAGTCTCACCTTTGACATAGACGTTAGGTGGCACGATCGTTTTGAATTGTTTCAAGTTAATGTAACAATCTTTAAAGAAATCGAGTCTGTTCGTGCTCATTCTCTACGAGTAAACTTGTTTACTCACCCCGAAGTTACTCAGGATTTTGTTCAAGTATGAAGACTTAGTTCGTGATGCTCACCATTCTGTGGATGACTAGTAGTATATAAATTTCCACTTCACGTAAATGTTAGCATGAAATGCCTTATTGTAGCTTTTTATGTCAAACTTGTATATTTGATTCCATGTATGTAATATGTACATAAGTACACCTTTTGTATTGTATTTGACATGTATGAGATGGGGCCGGAGGCCAATGCCATGTATTTTGTATCCAATATAAATTTTGACTTCATGAAATATTATGAAAACATTGAAAAATCACGAGTTATTGTTTCACTATAGGTACATCGGGTGTGGGAATTCCATTTCATTATTTCAGAGGGTCTTATTAATCAT